ACAAATTCCAAGTTACATCACAGATTCTCTTGCTGTACTTGGATTTTTGTTTCAAACATTGCCATCAGCTGGCAATTTTTTCCTAATAAGTACTACATTTAAATCATCTCTCCCCTACATTTTATTATTTGATCACTGTATATTGTCTGATTCATTAGTTACAAACCCCCAATTTTAATATCTCTTGTGGGAAAAGGCTATATCTTATGTCGGCTACTTTGCTCCTATCCAATGTATAAATATTAAAAGCAACTACGGGTTTTGTCTGGAGGAAACCATGGCCTTGATCCTGCTTGGTTTTATTCCTATACCTTTTTACCCCTTATATTCATTTGCACAGGGAACCAAAACTCCATTGGGGTGGGGAAAAAATTGGAAGCCCTCAAACTTAGAGAGTTTTTAGTAATTTTTTTTAAAGGTCAGTCTATAAACTGATACAAATACAGTATGAATTAACAATGAGGAATGCCAATCCCTACCCAGACCATGTGTTGTTCTCTAGGTGTATCTATTCTTCCTGTATATTCTGTGGATGATGTATGTGCCACAAGGTTGGGGGAAAACATTTTATAGCTACTTTCCTCCTCTTGCAGTTTCAGTAAATGCCTTTGTTTTGATTTGTGACCTGGCTGCCTAGAAAAAATGAACGCCATCAGGAGTTCTTGAACTATTGTTTTTGCGCAGGTATAGTTGACATGTCATTGTATTATTGTATCTTGAATCTTAACCTCCAGCTCATGTGGGATACACATGTGGCCACATGTGGCCTTAAGGCAGCAGGTTCTCCACCACTGATCAAGACCATTCAGCCTCAGGCTGCCCCTTCCCAAATCCATATTCTATTCCTTGAAAAGTAGGTAGAGGCTAGAGTAGCCCAGAAGTATTATGGAAGAGAGGAGAGTGAGGAGGAATAAAAGTTGAAACAAAGAACTGAACAAGAAAATAACCTACTGGTGTAGACAACATAGTGACTGAGAGACCACCCCAGTGAGGGATGTGCTAAAAATCAAGTGTCATTTTAGTATACCCCAAGGGGGCTAAATTCTTTTGTTGTAACAACAATAGGGACCAGACCTATAATTTCATTGCCATATGGAACTCTGGATTAGTAACCTCCCACTACTAATTTAGATTGGAATAGTAATTAGTATTATAGCTGGCAGTTATATAGTGCTTTAAGGCTTGCAAAGTGCTTTTCCATCCATTATATCATTTGATCCTCACAACAACCCTGTGAGGTAGGCACTGTTATTACGGCCATTTCATAGATGAGGAAACTGAAATTGAGAGAGAGGTTAAGTGACTTGCCCAGGGTCACATAGCTAGTAAGTGTCTGAGGCTAGATTTGAACTCAGGAAGATGAGTCTGTCTGACTCTAGGCCTGGTGCTCTATCTACTGTGTTACTTACTGCCTTTTTGTGAAATTTCACTGCCTCTTATAATCTTAGAGAGTTTTCCAAAGAACTGAAAGGGTAAGTGTTTTGCACAGGGTTATAGCTAGCATGTTTCAGAGGCCTTCCTGGATCTAAGACCCGTTATCTATCCATATTTGTTATAACATTTTTTAAAGATTAGAAGGTTATATTAATCTTTTGAGTTTTTCTAAGAAACCATTTAATTTAAATGGATTTTTCTTGACCTCTAAAAAAGCATAAGAAGCACGTGTTTATTTAAAAAATAAGTTGCTAGAAGCTCTAAATAACCAGATTTGGTGAGACACAGTCTTAATCAACAAATAAGTAAGTATTTATTTATCACTTACTATGTGACTAGCATTTAAGCACAGAAGATAAATGAGATCTAACAGAGTTAATAATCCATTAATTAAGTGTGTCTAAGCAATTTTAATCTAAAGAAAGGGAAGGCTAATTGGACCAGGGTGATTGAAGTAGAATGAAAAGTTTTCATGGAAAAGATGAGATTTGAATACAGCCTAGAATTTTGATAGGCAGAGAGAAGGGAGGAGGGAATACCATAAAATATATGTAAGTAGATAGGTAAAGAGGAATGAGCATTGAGTATATTAAAGATAGGGATGAAACTGGCCTGATCTGACTAGGACATCAATAGGTTATTCTCAATAGGGTGTGTGTGTATGTATGTGTGTGTGTGTGTGTGTGTGTGTGTGTGTGTGTGTGTGTGTGTGTGTGTGTGTGTGTGTGTGTGTGAGACAGGAAATAAAGTTAGATGGGTAGGCAGAGGAAAAATCACGGATAGCTTTCAAAAGTCAGGTCCTCCATAGGAATTTAACTTCATGTGCCAGTGAAGATTTCCATAGGAAGGAATCATAGAACAAAGTCAGATTAGTCTGGTAGAAGCATGCAGGGTATATTGTATAGATGAGACTGATGTGAGGAAGACCAAGTAGGAGATTATCATGGTGGTAGTGGAGCAAAAGATGGTAGCAATGAGAATGAAGAAGGAAAAGAGGATCTGGGATACATTTTTAAAATATAACAGGACTTTGAAAAACTGGATAAAAGTAGGATTACAGGTGTCAAACACAAAGACTATGGGCTGCATGAGTCCCACCACACTCATAAGTGCAGTTCAGACCAGATTAAAATGTAACTGGAAAATATTTAATGAAATAAATAAAAATGCAATAAAACATAGGTAATGTTAATATGTGGTTTTCTAAGTCAATATGCAGCCCACAGAAATCCTTATGTATCACTTGGAAAGAAATCTATCAGTGATCTATCAGAGCATGTCTTTGACTTAATACTGGAACTCTACAATATCAACAGTCATTTGCTGCTATCTGTTTTACCACAGCTTGAATTTAAACTAAAGAGCAATAAGCATTCATTCTTCAGTCTACTTTTTATAACAGACAAGTAACTAATAAGCAAAATGCCATCGGGGTTTATCTTTAAACACCTCCTAAACCCTCAAATAAAATAAAAATATTTCCTTGGATACATCATATGATCAGTCTATGTTCAACCTCATCTCCTACCCTTCTATATCTATATTGTTAAATAATCATCATTGATAAGCCTTAGAAATGGCAAGATACTTAAAATGCATTCTGAATCATCAAGGAAAGATTAAACTATATTTGGTTCAGTTTAGTGCTAAGGATATTTTACATTATAAGCATTTCCTGAAAATTGGCAATCCATGTGTGGCATATGGTAAACTAGAATTTACCACAGTTTATTAAACAGAATACCCCATTCTTTAACCAATGCTAATATTTGCTGCATATTATATTCATAGTTAGAAACAAATTAACTTTTTCAAAGACATTTGTTATACTTCTTTTCGTGCCCACGTATTAGAGACAGTGTAGTAAAGTCAAAAGAATATCAGATTTGGAGTCATCAGCCATATATTAGCTGTGTGACCTTTGGCAAGCTGCTTAACTTTTCCAAGCCTTAATTTCCTTCCTCATTTGTAAAATGGAGATAATTATACTAAGACTAGTTGCCTCAGAATGTTGTTAGGCCCAAATGAGATAATATGTTAAAAACCAACAAAATGTTTGCTATACTCAATCAATCAAAAGGCATTTATTAAATGCTTACTATGTGCACTGTACTAAGTGCTGAGGGATACAAAGGCAAAACTGAAGCGGCTCCTGTTCTCAAAGAGCTTATATTCTTTTTTTTTAAGCAGCTAACTTTCATTTTTATTTTTATTTATTATTTATTAGGCAATTGGGGTTAAGTGACTTGCCCAGGGTCACACAGCTAGTAAGTGTCAAGTGTTTCGTCTAAGGCCACATTTGAACTCAGGGCCTCCTGACTTCAGGGCCAGTGCTCTATCCACTGTGCCACCTAGCTGTCCCAAGAGTTTATACTCTAATAAGAGTAAATAAATGTAAGCAATTTTAATGTTTCTGTTAACATTTCATTTTCAATACCCAAGTAAGAGTAGTATTATTATCCAAATATTAAAACATGGATTTATCAATAAACAGTTATTTTCTTCTAAAGTCCCTAGCGAAAAAAAACAGTTCAGTATTTATAAGGTAGGGGTTGGCTGAATAAATCCATCAAATCACACCAACCCATTCAATGTAGTTCCAGATCATGAACTATAAACGTCACAAGCAAAATTTAATAAAAAGCCATAGCTAGGGCAGGGTAACTGGTGATTTTGACAGGCACCAACTTGAGAGAGGTGGATTTCATCCTTGATTTGAAGTGGACTACAGACTTTTTTCACCATGCCTAGTGTCCCTCCATTGTTTCCTGCCTCTGTATAGATTGGAGAGGAAGGCAGGCACCAAGAGGGAGTGAGGGAAAGAGATCTTGGGCCAATGAAGTTTGAGAGAAGAGGGAAAGAAAAAGTCTGTCCCTGCTTGTCTCACAGATATATCTATAGCTGGATTCTCCTCAAGCACACTTTCCCTCCCCTCCAAACCCCTTGAGTACACAAACCACATTCTCTAGGGTAGGAATTCTTACCCTGACATCTGTAAAGCTGTTTAAAATTTTTTTTAAATAACCACTTCAATATAATTTGCTTCCTTTGTAATCCCATAATTTCTTTTAATCTTACGTATTTAAGAACATTATCTTAGGAGAGGTCATAGGCTTTGCAGGATTTCTAAAGGGGTCCATGACACAAAAAAGATTAAGAACCCCTTGTCTACGGGCTCATTATAGCTATCCTGTTCCCCCCCCCCAAGTGAATTTGTCTTAGGCAATAGGATTTCTAGATACATTTCTGTTTAAAAGTTTGTGTATGTGTGTGTGTGCGTGTGTGTGTGTGTCTGTGTGTGTGTGTATAGCGAGAGAGAGAGAGAGAGAGAGAGAGAGAGATAATTACATACATAATACTTAATTATTTCCTGCATATGTGCTCAGTTCTGTTTTAAGTCTTGAGGGGTAAAATGTCCCCTATATCACAAAGTATATCCTATTTGATCAGATGTTTATCTCAGGAAAATACCACTTTAAGGTTCCTGATACATTTGGTAAATACTGAATAATGAGCCAGTCGAAATTAAATGACATATTTCCATTCAAACAAAAATGACAACATACCATTTTAAAAGATAAAGTGCTAGGATCAGTATCTTCTACTGGTTCTCTTGTAGCATGATCTGTAAAAAATAAATAAGCACAATGAAATTCACCTTCTGATGATTTTCAAGTTGATACAGGACTTGAGTCACATTTTTTTTAATTTCTTTTTTTTCTTCTGAGAGCCTGCATGGCATAGTACATAGATAAAGCCTGTAAGACCAGGGTTCTTACAAGTACAGGCTCTGTGACCCAGGACAAGTCATTCAACTTCTAAGGATTCTAGGCAACTTTCTAAGGCCATATATTGAAGGAACGATGCTAATCTGCATTGGTAGAGGGAACTTCCTCATCCAGGAATTTACTATACTAATGAAATCACAGGTCCTTCTCCCATCTTTTCTGAGATCAGAAGAAATAGGCTTAAAGTTAACTGAAAAACTATTTTATAAGAATTTTAAATTTCCTTTTATTCAGTTTTATTATGCCATTCCTTCTGGAACATTTGGCTAACTGAAGCCTGTTTCCTGTTAATATTAATCTCACCTGGCTTAAACCTGACTCACGGAATTATAGTATTAAAGAAAGACTTTTTACACTCCTGAGGTAAGATGCCAAAAAAGAGGAAGAAGGAAATATAGCATTTATGAAATTTTTAAGTCTTCCCAAGGAGACTGAGCTAATTTTATCTGTGGAAGAATTTCCCTTACGCTGAACTTTTGCTTATCTTCATGACATGTAAATCTCTTCCTCTCAATTAGCCCACTGTGACTTCTTTAAAATGCAGCCTTGTAATTTTGTAAGGATTTTTGCAAACTCACTGTTTAAATCTGTAACTTAGTCTGTTATATGTTAAAAAATTGTTTCTGTCTCTCTGACATAGTTTCCACCAAAAAGACTTTGTCAGAAACTCTAATCTTTGTTTAGAGTTATTTTTCTGTTTCCTGAACCTGTTCTTAAACATGACAAAACTTAGGTTTTTAATCTCTATAATTTCTGCATTATGATAGATTCATTTGGCAGCAATAACCTATTATACAAACTCAATGGGGAAAGAATTTTCCCATAACATTAAGTTATATAAAAGAAATTGGTAAAAAATAAATTTTAGGACAAGTTACTGATAAAAACCTACAAGTTTATAGATAATCAAACATAACCATACATTTTGGGGATATATAGATGTATACATATTATATAGAGACAGACATGTTGCTGTTTGAAGATAGATTACATGCTGGATATGGATTTCAATCCTGGTAGATGTGAGTTTGGGCAGCTAAGCTGCACAGCGTATAGAGTACTGGGCCTAGAGTTAGGGAGACCTGAGTCCAAATCTGGCTTCAAATACTTACTAGCTGTGTGACCCTGAACAAGTCATTTAACCATGTTTGCTTCAGTTTCCTCATCTGCAAAATTTCATACATACTTATTAAGTTACATACTAGGTGCTGGAGGCACTATGCTAGGAGCTGATGGTAGAAAGATGAAAAATACTGTAGTTTTTTTTTTCTCTCAAGGAGCTTACATTCTAATGGGGATGGGATGGGAAGGAGGTGACTACAAGTACCTGCATGACAGAGGTAGAATGCAATAAGGCCAAAGGAAGGATCTAGAGAAAGTTGCTTAAGAAATTTGAGGCTGGAGTGGATCATTTTGGGAGGAGAGATTAGGAAAGGCTTCAAGGAGGGCATAACATCTGAGATAAACCTTGAAGGAAAAGGAAGAAGAGAAGGATTTCAGGGAGGCGAAATGCGTAAGCAGTGCATTCTGAGGCAAGAAAAGACAAGATAACACTAAGGGACAGCTGATAGTACCATTTTACTAGAAGGGTGTGAGGAGCATAGACTAAAATAAGGCTGGTAAGGTCTGCCTTACTGGAGGCAGCCTTGAATGGAGTCAGGGTATGGAAAGTCTTAAATGCCAGGCAAAGGAGCTTGTATTTTACTTACACATAATGCTATCTCCACTTTCTCAATCCCCTGGCTTCTGAACACACTACTCAACTGAAATCGCACCCTCCTATGTTATTGTCAGGCTTTTCTCAGTTCTCATCCTCTTTTAACCTCACTGCAGCTTTTGATACAATTGACCACATCTTCCTCCTAACATTCTCTTCCCCCCACTGGTCTCTCTTGGTTCTTCTCCTACCTTTTTGGCCATACCACCCTCCTCAATGTCCTTAGATGGACCATCATCTCTCACTTATCTCTTTAGCATGAGTCTTCACCAGAGATCTACCCTGAGCCCTCTCTTCTTCTCTTGTTCTCTTACCCAGACCAAGAACACTCATCTGGAACTCTCAGCCTTCATCAACTGATACTAATGAGTCACCATTCATTTCTGGAAGCTAAAGTACAATGTCCCAGCAAGACAAGAACATGGAGATTGTCTAAGTAGTTTTGTCATGTGGTCTGATACCACTGAAATGCTTCAGACATCTAGGAACTTTGCTATGTTTCAGTTAAGATGGTTATGTGGAGAGTTAAACAATACCCTCAGAGATTTCAGCAACTCCCATAGATTCAAGTCTCACCTCTATGTGGATCACTTATAAATCTATATATCTAGCCCTACTTATTTTTAAGTTCTAGTCTTGAAGCAGAAACTGAACCTCCTGGTGGCCCAGGAGGCATCTCAATATGCCCAAAATATAACTCATTATCCTCTCTCAAAATCTACCCTTCCTACAAATTTCTCTATTTCTGCTGAGGGCACAACCAAGCCAATGTGGTTCAGTGGAAAAAGTTCTAACTTTGGGGTCAGAGGACCTTGCTTCAAATTCTAGTTCTGACATTTACTATTAGTATTGGGCAAGTCATTTTAACCTCTATGGGCCTCAGTTTCCTTATCTGGAGAATAAATAGGGTTTGAATTAGGGCAGCATGGTACAGTGGAAAGAGTACTTGCTATGGACTTGGGTTCAAATCCTTCTTCTCATACTTAACTACCCATGTGACCTTGGGCAGGTCAATTAACCTTCATGGGTCTCACCTTCTTCTTCTGTAAAATGAAGGGTTTGGAACTGATGGCCTCTGAGGCCTTTCCTGCTCTAGATCTACGATCCTTCCAATATCCCAGGATTATAACCATAAAATCATCCTTTATTCCTCCCTCTCTTGCACCTTCCACTTCTAAGCAGTAGTCATCTTGTTGACAATAAATATCTCTTAAATTAGTCCTCTTTTCTCTACTCACTCAGTCACCACTCTAATTCAGGCCCTCATTATTTCTTCCCTGATCTCTTGTTACAGCCTCTTGACTATTCTACTTTCTTCTGGTCTCTCAGTCAATAAACATTTATTAATTGCCTACTATATGCCAGTCACTGTGCTGAATGCTACTAGGGATCTAAAACGGGGGCAAAAGATAGTCCCTGACCTCAAGGAGCTCACAATCAAATAGAGGAGACCACAAGCAAACAAGTATCTACAAACGAGCTGCCTAAAAGATAAACGGAAATATTTTTAAACGAGAAGGCACTAGAATTAAGAAGGGTTGGGAAAGGTTTCTGGCAGAAGGTGAGATTTTATTTGGGACTTCAACACAGCTAGTAGATGGGGTGGAGGGGGAAGGAGGGGACAGTGCATTCCAGGCAGGAGGGACAACCAAAGAAAATGCCCAGAGCCAAAAGACAGAATGCCTTGTTGGTACAACAGCCTGGTGGCAGTGTCACCGGATGGAAGAGTGTGTGGCCAGTGTAAGGTGTCAGAAGACTGGCCGGCAGCAAGGTAAATTATGAAAGCTTTGAGCACCAAACAGAGGATTTTATATTTGATCCACGAGGTAAAAAGGGAGCCTCTGGAGTTTACTGAATGGGGCAGGGAGGTGACATAATTGGACCTGAGCTTTAGGAAAATCACTTTAGTGGCTGAATGGAGGATAGATTAGAATGGAGAGATTTGAGGCAGGCAGATCCACCAGCAGGATATTGCAGTAGTCCAGCCTGCCCTAGAGTGGTGGCAGTGTTAGAGGAGAGAAGGGGGTTTATTTGAGAGATTTTGCAAAAGTAAAGTCTTTCCTCTCCAATCCCATTTCCATACAGGTACCAAAATAATTTTTCTAAAACACAGGCCTGACTGTTACCCTCACGCTCAAAAAACCTTCTATGGCTCCCTCATGCCTATGGGATAAAATGCTGTGGCATTTAAAACCTTCTCTCTCTGGCTCCCATGTTTCCAGAGTTATTTCATATTAATCTACTTCACGAACTCTGTGTTACAGCAGAACCAGCTGTTCTTTGGACTGAACGCACCATCTCTTTTGTCAGTGCCTTTGCCTAGGAGGTCCCTCTTGTCTATCACGACGACAATGATGACGACAATGATGAAAGTAATGGCGATGATAGTGGTGAGCACGATGACAGCTAGCATTTCTAGATGTCTTTAAGGCTTGCAAAGCCTTCTGAAGTAATCTTCCTTATCTGCTTCTGGTAAATGTTATCTTCCTTCAAAACTCAAGTGCTCTGGTTCTCAGAGAAGTCCTCTTAGATCCTCCCAGGTGTCCATGCTCTCTTCCCCTCAGTTTTCTTTGATTCTACTTATTTGTGTATATATTGTGTCCCTCCAATGGAAAGTAAAGTCCTTGGGGGTTGTCGTGGTCGTTTTAGTTGTGTCTGACTCTTTGTGACCTCATTTAGGGTTTTCTTGGCAGAGATTTGCCATCTCCTTCTCCAGCTCATTTTACAGATGAGGAAACTGAGGCAAGCAGGGTTAAGTGACTTTCTTAGGGTCACACAGCTACTAAGTGTCTGAGGCCAGATTTGAACTGAAAAAAGATGTCTTCCTGATTCCTAGCCCAGTGCTCTATCCACCGTGCCACCTAACTGTCCCTGGCATTGAAGGTAGTGTCCGTCATTGTATTTTCACCCTTGAAAACAGTAGGTAACAGCGTTTGTTGAATTTGTTAAATTTAGTCACTAAAGGTTTCATAAGAGGCAGATAGAAGAGCTGTATGTGACAGTTAGATTTGTGGTCCTAGATTATTTATAAGAGAAGAGACCACATGGTCAGACACATATTGAAAGATACAAAGAGATCTGTACTGGGTGATTTTTTTTCCTTTTTTTGGCTTTCCTTTC